ATACAACATATACACATGTATATATACAACATATACACATGTAACATGTATTGTCCCCTTTCCTAGAAAAGAGCAAGTCCCAACTCCATTTCTCAACATTAAGCGAACCAACAGGTTATTTTATTCTTTCCCTGAAAGTTTGGAAATGCGATCCAAATATTTTATTTGCCAAAACATGCCATAATACCTTCATTTAACTGGAGGTTTTCACAGAAACAGCCGCTCTACTATTTGTGGCAGAGGGCAGGTTTGCATACATCTCACCCCTTCCCAGACCCTACTTTACAGTGGAATATACTAGGCCAGTTTGGTTTGGTTTGTTTACCTTCATTTAACCCTCTTTAATTAGTAATAGATGTAGAACCTGACCATCTCATAAGCTAAATCTACGCACAGGGCAGTAGATTTTTAAGGGAATGGGTATGATGGGTGTTCATTTCTCGTTATATGAACTACATTAATTTTATTTGTTATATTCTATCCCTATATTTGCAGCTTGGTTGGATTTCATGCTTAAATGGATGTAAATGAGTAAAAAATGCATTTTTGTCCTAAATGTCGAATGTGTTAAAATAAAATAAAATGGACTTATATTGTTGTTTTTGTGTGAATAAGCGATAGTTTCAATTTCTTGAAGGATTAGCCAGTGGAAAACCATAGTGCAAGAGTGTTTGATCATGCAAATTTCTGGGAATATCGATGGATTAAACTATGTAAACAAATATCGAGTGTTTCACGGTCTCAACATACATGGAAAGCTTGAAGAACTTTGTTGGATTAAATTTTGAACCTTACAATCTCTTGCATGACCAGGCCTTGAGCAGTGGTGAATCAATAACTTTTTTTCACCGGTGGCACAAAATATTAATGTAATATGAAGTAAAGAGTGAATTACTACATCCTCAGTCCCTCTTTCATGCCTCCATTCTGGATTTGGACCCTAAAACACATCAACTACACCCGTGGTCCTTATTTTGTGTTTTCCATAACAGACTGGTCCCTTGATTTAACACCGTTAAATGAAAGGTCGTTATCCCTGTCATCTGCCCCTCATGTGAATGGCAATTTGGTCATGTTACCTATTTGGTCATGTTAACAAATACAGTGTGCAAAGTATAACTTACATCAAACCACTACTACTTGCAAAAATACATTTGCAAAAATACATGATTTCATAATCAACTAATGATATATGAAAAAAGTAAATATAATATAAGCATCCAAAATCCATTATCGAAGCAAATATATATGCATTTCATACTAAGAAGAAAAAACTACTACCAACAAGCACACAATCAATTAAAATGAATTAAATATCAAATAGTAAATAAAATATAAGCATCAAGAAAACAATTTGGCTAGTGATCCCATATAGTATCATCACATTCACAAAACTTGGATTTCAGAAAACAAAAGAATTCACCTATCACCTGTACAATCACTCCTGTAAGATCAAAATCGAATATTTATAACTCTGATCAAGGGAAAACATACAAAACTCATCGAAAACAACAAATTGCATGCGTGAACCTTACGCAATACGTTTGACGGTGATAAAATCAAGAAAACAATTTATGTAATTTATTAAATTATAATAGAATAATTATTTTTTATAACAAAAATATATCATTTGAAGTTTTCGTCAAAACAATTAAAATGACACCAAATAAAAAGTTTATATGGTTTTCTATTTTTATTTTTATCTCTTTTCTACATTATTTTTTATTATTAATATATAATAAATTACATAAATTAATAAAAATATAGAAACCGTATAAAAATAATATTTTGATAACAGTAAAATGAAAGTTTAAGAAACATAAAATACAATAAATAAAATTTAAAGAATGAATAAAATGTAAAAGAGAGACCTATTTGATGTTTTAGAAGAGAATTAAGTTTTATTTTGAGATTATATTGGTAAAATATAAGTCTGTTCCACTTTGTTCCACCCTGTTCCATGGGGTAGGGATGGAACAGGCCTGTTCAACTTTGTTCCTGTCTGTTCCACATAAAATTTATGCCAAACATGGAACAAGGATCCCTGTCCTGTTCTGTCCTGTCCAGTGTACCAAACGCACCCTGAAGGATTAGCTGGTGAAAAACTATACTGCAAGGGTGCTAATCCACCAATTACTCAAAACAACCAAAGGTAATATACACAAAACACAATAAACTGAGCTGATAATTCAAATCGAACACACATAAATCATCAAACTGAAATTCTAATCATGGATCACATGGCCATCTACCAAACAAGAATTTGTTCTCAAGATAATGCAAATACACACTAAGAGAACAAGAAAAATAACACCAAGGTGTACTCAAAAAGTGTAAGAATCGGAGAATAATATATTTCCCAAGTTTCAAAAGCTAGGTTCAAAAGTGTTTCAGAACCTATTTTGAGTCAACTTTCGAGATTAAACCATAACAATCCAAGAGCTTTTAGCCTATATTTATAACACTTTATGGTTGGAAATCCTTATGAATCTAGTTTATTATGCTACAAACGCTTCTCGATTTGAAGTTTTCTGCAGCAAGATAAGGTCAATTTATGAAACTCATGCTGTCAATAGATCGAGTTACTTACCGGTTTGACTTGATAGTCCAACCCCCTTTCATATTCCTTTGATTTTTTAGACATTTAAAGTAGCTTTTAGTTGCCTCCATAATTTTTAATACCACTTTCTTTGTTTTTATATTCTTTACTAAAATTTGTAGTCTTTTCTATTCCCAAAGTTAGCAATTATCACCAAAGTTAATGGTTCCTTTTTTGGATAAAGAGCTATGTAAACTCTTGGAAACTACTGTAATGTCACACTCGGCTAATTTCAGCATTTGGCTTCTTGGGTAGAAGATGTCCTTCCTCAATTTCACTATTATCTCTTCAGTGGCTTCCACTGAGGGGAATGTGTATATAAGTTCTTATCTATTGATGGATCCCTTAGGTGGCGAGTTTGGTTACTCTATTTGCTTCACTTATATATCGTGCATTTTCTGAGACTTCTGTTTTGTTAAGGAGAATCCCATTAAATTAAAGAAAGTGTTTCCTATCAACTGTGGGCGTATGATAACATTGCCCAAAATGGATTACCAATTGGAAGTTCTAAATTCAGATAAATAACCACATCTACCCTAAATGCACCTCACAGAATAAAGGCACACAATATACAGAACGACATTAACCGACCAACAAGCTTTCCAATTTAACACAAAAACCAACTAACTGAAGCAACCATGATTAGATCGATGTTAAAGAAAACCGTGCCGTAGAACGAAAAATAGATCAAAAGGGAGAAAAAAATAATCGGTGCTTACTAAAACCATCTTCAACAAGGTAATTGAAAGTGTGTCCATCGCAGTTGTAGGTGAACTTATTGTTAGTTGCAGGAAGCTTCTGGAGGCACTGAGAGGCGATAGAAGTGAAATTTCCGGTAAATTCAGTGTACTCGGAGAGGATCACGGTTCCTCTAGACACAAAACTATAGATCAAAGACTGTTGCCCCATTAAGATTATGAAAATGACGATCTACAAAACCTTACTCCCGTAAGAACCCTAGCAGTAAGAAAAGCAGCGCCTTGAACAGAAACGGATAGTGCGATGCTGATAGAGGGTATTGAAGGAGACGTGACGATGGAGAAATGTATGAATCTGATCTATTTTCCAAGGGAGGGGTGGACGTCCAAAAGAAAGAAAGGGAAAAGTTTGTGGGTTTCGTAGATATAAAGGAATGAAAGGGTTTTAAACCGCTTTGAAGTAATATATTTCCGTTGAATGTCGTTTACCAAAAACCCTCTTGGTTGTTTCGTTTTCTCTTCTACTTTTCTTATTTTTTTTTTAATGAATATTTTAAATAAATGAATAAAATAAGATAATTAAAATAACATTATAATTTAAAAAATTTAACTACTCAAATTTTGTTATACAATTCAAACATCTACCATCTTTCTTTTTATTCATAAATATTTAATTAAATTTTATTTTTATATCGATTTTTCCGTAAGATATGAATCGAATGCATATTTTAGCCAAATAATCATTTTAATTTTCAAATACGTATCATCTTCTTTCATATATTCATAATCATTCTCTAATCTATTATGTGATCCATAATGTGAGGTAACATGAATAATACCACAATTCAAATATTATAATATATTTCATGCATCTACTATTTTTTTCTTTTATTATATAATGACTTTCAATCTATCATTTCTCACATCAATATGAATAACGAAAACAACACCACAATCGAATATGTTTAATACTTAAATCTCATAATACTATTTCATGTCCTACGATCTTCATTTTATGTATACATATATAAATATAGATCTTTATATAGAAGGATCCCTCCAAAAAGTACATTATAAGCTATAGTTTTCACTATTGATATTTATCAACATTATGTCATTTTGTATTTAATTAAATAATTTGTGTGTGTGTATATATTTTTTCTTTTTGCAAAAAGAGGGAAGGTCAAAAATTATGTTTTAGCCAATTTATTTTGTATGTTTAACATTTTTTTGCTAAAAATTGGTTGACCAAAATGAGTCAACCCAAGAGCTCGGAGGATCGGACAAAATAAGCCAACAACATGAGTTTAGAGGATCGGTCAAGAGAAGCCAACCTCATGAGTTGCCACAAAGACATCTCAATCTCTCTTCTTATACCCACCATTCATTGTAAATCTTTCATATCTCTGTCAATGTGGGATATACAGAACTCAACCACAATTCAAGAAATGAAGAATACTCATTTCTTAGGATGTCACCTCATCCCTTATAAGTTTTACTCTAATTGGTTTTGCCATCTGGTTTTTCATTACTATAATTTTCATTGTTTGGATGGAAATGGTTTTGATTTCAATCATAGCTATACATTTGAAAGACATCTTTCATATTTTTGTATACATATAGAAAAATATTTCATAACTATAAATTTTACCATTTGATTGGCTTTGATAGATTTCAACCATGGGTTCTCATAAATATAAAAATTACTAATTGGTTTTGTCATCTGGTTGACTTTGATTTCAATCATGGTTTTTCATTACTATAATTTTCATTGTTTGTATGAAAATGGTTTTGATTTCAACCATGCCTAACATTTGAAAGACATCTTTCATACATTTGTATACATATAGAAAAATATTTCATAATTATATAAGTTTTACCATTTGAGTGGCTTTGATAGATTTCAACCATGGTTTTTCACAAGTATATTTTTTATCGTTTGGTTGGAATTGGTTTTGATTCCAACCCACGACTATAGATTTCAAAGACATATTTCATTTTCTAATCTACCATTTTTCTACCAACATAGAATAATCAAAACACACCACATTTCAATATTTGAGAATATTCAAGTCTTGTAATGTCACCTTACAATACTTGGTTGATCTTTTAATAAGATTTGTTTTATATAATAAACGTTGTTTTGCAAAAATAGAGCCATAAAAATAAGACAACTCATGAGTCAAACCTCATTAGTTGACACAATTATCATCTCATCCTTCATTTTTATACAGGTCTCTTTATAATATTCTTTCTAAATCTCACCAAGTGAGATATCTAAAACTCAACAATAGTTCAGTATTTGGAAATACTTCATTTTCATAATGTCAGCTCACTACCCTTCTGTTCTTCATCAGATAACAGCGGGGCTCGAGAATTGATGTGTATTCGAGCCATAAATCCTATTGTATTCATTGAAATCTGGGTTCATAAATATCACTTCATTCTTTGTGCGGTTTATTTTAATATACATAAAAACAAAGAGTTTTTTATTTGTATGATTAATTTCTTTTTACTAAAATGAGGTTGGCCAAAATGAGTAAACTCATGAGTTTGGGGGGTTGGCCAAAATGAGCCAACGACGTAAGTTTAGAGGATTGATCAAAAGGAGCCAACATCCTAAGTTGCCATAAGAGCATCTCAAATCTCCCTTTAAAATACCCACCATTTATCGTAAATATTTCATATCTCCATCAATGTGGGATACACAAACTCAACCACAATTCATGAAATGAAGAATGTTCACTTCTTAGGATGTCACCTCATTCTTTGTGGGTTTTACTTTAATTATATATATAAAGATATAGATAGAATATCACACTCTATCAATGTATCATTTTTTCATCAATGTGAGATTTCCAAAAGCCAAGCACAACGCAAGATTTTAAAATACATCACTTTCAAGATGTCATCTCAATATTTTAAAATCATCTTTTTATATGAAATAAGCAAACTTAACTGCATTTCAAGATTTAAGTACTCAAATCTCATATTGACAATTGCAAGTGCAAAGGCTGACTCATTTGAGCCAAAAACATGACTTGCAACAAAAAAATCACCTCCTCTTTTCATATATAAACATCCTTACATTCCTTTTACTTTCTTTTTGTCAATATACTATCTTCTTATCAATGTAGGAAAACTAAACAATACTATAATTCAAGACTTTTAGAATACTCAAATTTTATAATGTCACATCACTTGTGATTATTGTTCCTCTATAATAATAATATCTTCTTACCAATGTAGAAAATCTAAACAACACTGTAATTCATGGCTTTGAGAATATACAAATTATAAAATGTTTCCTCAACTCCGATTGTTGTTCTTTCATAATAAAAAAACTATCACTCTAAAATTAGAGGTCAAACAATAGCTCACATATTTATATTGCTCTTTTAATTTTCGAACCATCACATGCTTATTTTATATATACATATCATACTCTATCAATGTATCATTTGTTCATCAATGTGGGATTTCCAAAAACCAACCACAACGCAAGATTTTAAAATACACCGTTCACAAGATGTCATCTCAATATTTTAAAGTTATCTTTTTATATGATATAAACAAACTTAACCACATTTCAAGATTTAAAAAAAATACTCAAATCTCATAATGAGGATCGCAAATGAAATGGTTGACTCTTTTGAGCCAACATCATGACTTACAACAAAAAGAATCACCTCCTTTTTTCATATATATACACATATCATTCCTTATACTTTTTTTCTTCCCACCAATGTGAGATAAACAAATTTAACCACATTTCAAGATTTAAGGAATACTCAAATCTCATAGTGTCATGTCATTCTAGTTAATTTCTCCTTTAATATGTATATAGATTTGAGTATTTACAATAGTTTTTTTTTAAATTGAGAAAATAGAGAAAATGAGAATTATAAGCTAATATTTTGTTTCAACAGTTTTTCTAAAACTATTTCAAAAATAGGGAAAGTATGAGAGAGTTGGATTTTTTCTCCAAATATGGAGATAACGCCAAAAATGATAACCATTAATAGGAAACTTTAAAAATAAATATTTAGAGATAAATAATATTTTGATAGAAGAATGAAATATTTTAATATTATAATTAGAGATACTATTCCTATTAGAAATAATAATTTAGATGTTATTGAGAAGGAAAAAATGGTTTGTTATAAAGGGTAAGTATTGACTTAAATCCTTCCGTTGAAATTTACAAAGGAATGGTCTAATAATTCAAAGAAGCTTCGGTTACAATATTTGTTTCATATTGGGAACGTTGGATCTTTAAGCAGATATATTTTATTAATAAAACTGAGGTTCTTGAATTTATCCTATTATTCATATCATTGAGGACTGCATTATTGGATTGTATTGCAAATATTCCTGAGCAAATATATTTTATTATATTTTGGTGTTTATCTCCCTGCATTTGCAAAGAAGTGATTCATTCACTAGACCCTTCTAGTCTAACGCTCATTTTTCGGTATTTAAAATATGTAATGCAGGAATGACGGGGTCCAGGGATAATAAGGGGAAAGGAAAAATGTGATTATTTTCTTAATCTGATATCTGCTTTTGGAAATCTGCATGAGATTGCTTATTTTTGAAGAAACATGTTGTATTACATGTGATAGTACATGATTTTGTTTTGGAATTTTCCATATGTAAATTTTTTACATATAAGAATCCTTGTACTAGTGTGACCTTGTGATGTAAACTATATTTCTATGTAATGAAATATGTGTTATTTGCAAATGTGGTGTTTGAGGGTGTTACAGAAGTGGTATCAGAGCCTTAGTTTAAGAGATTTAGGTATTCAAAGCATGATGCGTAGACTTAAACTGTCATTTGCATGTTAAGAGTCCCGGACAAAATTAGTATCACTGGGAATAAAATATAATGGGTTAAAGAGGGCCGTATGTAAGGTGAATTTTCGAATTACAAATGGTCAATGTAATTATGAATTTACAGGTACATACCTATACTCGAATACCATATTATATTTGGGAATGTGAATACGTGATATTTAATACTAAAATATATGCAGATGTCTAGTCGATCATGAAGATCAGAAAGAATTACCTGCTTTGCATTTGAAGAAAGAGAGGAATCTCTTGTTAATCCTCCAACTTACGCTTTAGGGAGTAGAGGTCGTGGAAGGGGTAGGGGTAGAGGTCGAGGAAGTCAGGCTGAGATTCGCCCTGATCAAGAGGAATCTATTTCTAGGAATGCACATCAAGAACAAAGGCAACAACCTGAGTTTATAATAAGAGATGTTTTGACAGAAGAAATGGGGAAATTAAGAGAAACTTTGATATCCATTATGGGATTACCAGCCAGAATAGAAACTGAGCGAGTTGGAATTAATCCTCCAGCTCCTTCAGCAGACAGCAATAACCGGGAGGAGATATAAAGATGTTTTTTTGACATGTAAACCTCCGACCT